AATTGTAAGAATACTTCTGTTAATATTTTGGATAATTCTTGCAGATATGTTATCAGTTTATTTTCATTATACTTTTGTGTCAGATCTTTAATGTAAAATTGTTGCAATCAAATGTATTGATCATTTTAGTAGCATCATCTCACCTTCTAAATCCTTCCTTTTCTTTCTGATAAATATTTATCTGAAGTGTTACTGTTTTTTTCTTTCTTTTCTTTCTTTCTTTCTCTCTTTCTCTTTCTTTCTTCTTGTTTTTCTTTCATTCTTGTGACATGTCCTATTATGTAGCCCTGGCTGACCTGAAACTCACTGTGTAGCCCAAACTAGCCTCAAATTTATAACTGTCCTCCTGCCTCAGCCTCCCAAGTGCTAGAATTACAGCCATGAGTCACCAAGCCCAGTGTTGACTAATCTGTCTGAAATTAATGAAGGGTAAACTATCAGATGGCCTAATTGTATGTTTATATACTGACAACTATAATTAATAATTCCAGCTTGGGCTAGAAGATTTGTTTAACAAAGAAAAACAAACAAGCAAACACACAAAAGCTAACAACTCTTGCTTCTTACTCTTGAAGAGGCCCTCTGACCCCGTCGGCAGGCCATTTTCTCTAGATCAGGAACCCTGACTACAGATGTGTTCTTTAGAAACTCTATATGGTTCCATCATGGGTGGGGAGAGGCTCTTGGAGACCCACCCTTCCAGGAGAAGCCCTAAACAGTAAATGGTAGCCTAGATGAATAGTCATTTTTCTTCAGTGGGGTAGCCTCTAGTAAGCTGTCCAAGGGCCAGAATACCTACCCATGCTCATATAAGCAATTCTAAGTAAACTCAGTGGGCCTCTCTCTCACACACACACACATAAAGACAAGTGTAGAAGGGAGTCTAATTGGGAAGAAGAAGGTCCACAGGAGTGGGAGGAGTGAAGAAAGGGTCTTGAAGGATGAGCACAGTCACAGTATAGTATATCCATGCATGAAACTGTAAGAAATTAACAATTTGGACTTATTTCGATTTATTTATTTTTATGCATACAAGTGTTTTGCCTGCATGTAAGCGCACCATATGCATACAATGCTCACAGAGGCCAGAAGGGGGTGTTGGATCCCCTGGAACTAGAGTTATGGATGGCTGTAAGCCACTGTGTGGGTGCTGGGAATTGAACCCAGGTCTCTACAAGATCAGCCAGTGCCTGCTCTTGACCACCGAACCATCTCTCCAACGCCCATAGTTATTCTTTTTTTTTGGAGGGGGGTGTCTTTTTTTTTTTTGGTCTTTTTGAGACAGGGTCTCTCTGTAGCCCCAGCTGTCCTGGAACTCACTATGTAGACCAGGCTGGCCTTGAACTCAGAGATCCACCTGCCTCTGCCTCCCAAGTGCTGGGATTAAAGGCATGCACCACCACGCCCCGCTTTTTTGGGTCTTTTTTGAGACAGGGTCTCGCTGTAGCCCCAGCTTGCCTGGAACTCACTATATAGACCAACCTGGCCTTGAACTCACAGACATTCGCCTGCCTCTGCCTCCTGAGTGCTGGGATTAAAGGTGTGCACCACCACGCCCAGCATAGTTATCTTTCTAAATGATCAAAATGGGGCTAGGGATATAGCTCAGAGGTAGAGTGCTTGCCTAGAATGTGCAAGGGTTTGATCCCCAATGCTGAAAAAAAAATGGCTTAAGAGGGTAAAATTTATGTTAGATGAATATTATCTCAATAGGAAAGATTTTTAACCAAGAACAGTTTTTATTTTTTTTAATATTTTATTATTATTTTTTATGTGTATGCACGTATTGTCTGCATGTAGGTAAGTGCACCTGTGTCGTGCAATGCCCATGGAGGTCAGAAGATGCTGTCAGACCTCCTGGGACTGGAGTTATGGACAGTTGTTAGCTGCCATGTGGGTGCTGGGATTCAAACCCGGGACTTCTGTAAGAACAACCAGTGTTCTTAACTGCTGAGCCATCTCTCCAGCCCCTATTTATTATTTTTAATTTTATGTGTATGAGTGTATTGCCTGCATGTATGTGAGTGCACCTGTGTCATGCAAGGCTGCGGAGGTCAGCAGAGGGCTTTGGAGTCCCCTGGAACTGGAGTTAATGATGGTTTGTAGCTGCCATGTGGGTGCTGGGAATCGACCCAGATCCTCTGCAAGAGCAGTCAGTACTCTTAACCACTGAGCCATCTCTCTCCAGCCCAAGAACAGTCTTTAAATAAAAAAATGATAGAGGAGCCCTGAGGAAAGCTGAAGAAACCACTTTCAGATTGGTTCTTATTTTCAAAAGTTACTTCTTCAGAGAAAGCCAAACCTAAAATGATGTGTTTTACATTTTCTTATTACATAATTTATGAGAAAATTAAGCTAAAAATGAAAGAATGCAATGAAACCATTATTTTGTACAATTAATATATACTAATTTAAAAGATTAAAAAATAGCCGGGCATAGTGGCACATGCCCTTGATCCTAGCACTTGGGAGGCAGAGGTAGGCAGCTCTCTCTGAGTTCAAGGCCAGCCTGGTCTACATACAGGGAGACCCTGTTTAAAAAAGATCCAAAAAAAAAGATTTAAAAAATGAAGAATGATTTGCTCTCATCAGTTCTAAAAGTGTGTTTGACAGCTCTCTGTCCAGAAGTCTGAGGAGAAGACTGGCTGGCCCAGCTGGACTTCTCTCTGCCAGCCTTAGCTGTCGGTGGGCTAGCCTTGAAGAGCTGAGGTACCACACGATTTAAACTGGTGGCCACACTGCTAGGAGACAGCCACTTAGAGACTCTGGGTAGGGCAGGAACACCCATCAGAGTCATTTCTGCCTCCCCCAACCTGTACCCAACCAGGGGTGTGCATCTCCCCTGGGGTTTCCCAGCCTCTCTGGGAGACTAACGTGATTCAGCATATCCTCAGGCCCTTTTGGATTCCCTCCTGTCCTCCAGTCTAAGGAAGTTTGGGAGAATGCCCCCCAGCACCTTGTTATCTCCGCCAGGGAAGTCTAAAGGTCAGTGCTGTGGACATTCAAGCTCAAGGCTTCTCACCAGCTAGAGATGAATGGCCTGGGGAATGTTCTAGAGGTGATTTGAGTCAGCTTGTGCCTCTGTCAGGGTGGGGCGGAGGCCACTGACCCTGGAATCAGTGTCTCTGCCTTCCTTCTGCCCTTCCCTCCACCTCAGGAGATTAATTGGGCCCCTGAAATTCCTGGATTATATTGTCCTGTGCAAAGAATTGTACTGTATTAGGAGGGTAAACTGGAGGACTCAAAAGACATGGTGAAGTGTTTGGGACATAAGGAGGTCTTCCCTGCACCAAGTCAGTAGCGGCATCTGCTTGCATCTACCTTCCCTAAGGACTCTTTTATCACTAACTAAAAACGTCACCCTAGTTTGGGGATTTAGTTCAGTGTTAGAGCACTTGCCTAGCAAGCTCAAGGCCCTGGGTTTGGTCCTCAGCTCCGGAAAAAAATAAATAAATCTCACCCTGAACCTCCACACCTGAGCCCCCTCTGCCCCAGGCTCTTCTGCCTCTGCTTTTTTTTTTTTCTTTTTCTTTCTTTCTTTTTTTTTTTTTTTCGTGTTTTTGAGACAGGGTCTCTGTAGGCCCAGATGGTCTGGAACTCACTATGTAGACCAGGCTGGCCTTGAATTCACAGAGATACACCTGCCTCTGCCTCCTGAGTGCTGGGACTAAAGGCGTGTGCCACTGCCTGGCACTTACCTAGCTTCTTAACTTCCCTTGACCTGGGCTTCATTATTTGTAAAATGGAAATAAAGATGTCTTTATGTTATAAGTGGTAGGGTTTAGACAAGGAACACAGGACCTGGTGCACCAGAAGCACCTGAGGCTGTTACTCTGGTTTGATTATTTTGTCAGCGGTATAAATCAAGTTCTAAGGAGCACAGAATATACTTCTGGCCCTATGCCAGGAGTTTTAGAGGTACAGCACACTGTGCTTGGCCTCAAAGGGCTTTGGAAAAGAGAAACCACCAACTAATAATTTGACATTGGGGGGGGGACAAGCGCATGGAGGCCCAAGGTCAGCACCAGGTGCTTTCCAGGATAAGCACTTCAGCCACAGAGCCATTTCTGCAGCTTGCTTTCTTTCTTTCTTTCTTTTCTTTTTTTTTTTTTTTTTTTTTTTTTTTTTTGAGACAGGGTCTCACTATGTATCTATCCCTGACTGGCCTGAAACTATGTAGACCACGTTGGCCTCAATTTCACAAAGATCTGCCTACCTCAGTCTCCCAAGTGCTAAGTTTAAAGATATGACTTTCGTTTTTACTTTTTAAAGACCCATCAAAAAGCTCAGAAACCTCACTGTGCAGCTCTGACATTTACATGCAGCCTCCGCTTGGCTTAGTCTTCAGGTCCAGCTGTTTGGCCAAGTCCACATCAACACAAGATGGGCTGATGGGCTGAGCTTTAACCTTAATAGGCCTCTGTAGTCTTTCCAGTCAGCCTTCTTCCCATCTACATGCCAAGCCACAGCCCCAGACACAGCGAGGCTTCAGTCCTGAGTTGCCCATCTCCAAGGGACCACAGCCTGTGTCGGGTCCAGTTCACGAGGGGTTACTGACCAAGGAAGGACTTTGTTCCCCTCTTCCAGCCCTGGCAGGGGACATTTTGTCTTGGATCCAGGGAGCCTTAAGGGAATATGAAGAAGGATTGGGGATAGTTCAGGTAGAAGGGGTGGTCAAAGGCATTTGTCTGAGAGCGGTGGGAGGGACCAAACTTAACGCATGGGGAGGCGTCAGGAGACAAGGAACTCAGCCAGACTAGAGGATCAAATTCCTCCAGGGTGAACTCTGAGATAAGAGGTTGGCACTGGAGGCCTGAGGAGGGAAAGAGGGAGACGGGGAAACAGGCCACTTCACCTGTCTCAGTGCTGATCCAACAGACAAAGCCAGCAGAACAGCAGTGCTGGGCAGAAACTTCCCCTTCAGTACCCCATCTGCCAGCTTTGCCTGCCCCTCCTCATCTTCAGTATCTGCCAGGACAACTGGAGAGAAAAAAAAAACGATGGAGCTAGGCAGGACTCAGATAAAACTTGACCCCAGGTAAGTGAGGGTGGCAGGTCCTGGCCTGGGGGCCAGTTGCTAAGAAACAACGGCAGCCCCTATCGTTCTGGTCTGTTCCCCCCTCTATCCCTCACCAGGGCCCTTTGGCTTCCAGCACTCAGAATGAGGCAGGACTGAAAGTCACCTGGCTGTCCCTTGGGCCTCAGGGAAACTATGGGATGGGGTTAGTGTGTGACCACTTCAAGGCTGTGACTTTGCCTTCCAATGTGGGCAGAGTAAGATCACAGAGATGGGGGCTGCAAAAGGCATTTCCAGAAGCAGAAGTAGTGCACAGAGCCCCTCACCAACAGTGCGCAGGCCCATCCCTGGTGCTAAGAGACCATTCTTTTTTGTTTTGTCTTCTTACTTTTTTGACAGTCTCACCATGTCACAATGTAGACCAGGCTGGCCTCAAACTCCAGCTCCTTTTGCCTCAATCTCCCTCCCCAGTGCTAGTATTACAAGAATGCATCACCATGCTTAGTGAAGGGGTCACTCTTTCCCTTGGACCCTGCTTATCCTCCCTGGCCAGCCAGCCTGATGGGGCTGCCCATGGCTAACTGATAGCCTACCTTATACCTACATCAATTCTCCAGGATCCTGAGGAGAAAGGGACTGGCCCCCTGAACCTAGTGGTATTTGAGGAGTATCAAGTAACCATTGTCCAATATGCCACACCGCATCCCCATCAGCCATGGTTCTGAACACAGGCTGGTGTCTCTCCAGGTATACGGCAGATCTTCTGGAGCTGCTGCAAACCAACTACAGCATTCCCTCGGCCTGCTTCTCTTATCCCCCTACTGCAGCCCAGCTCCTGAGAGGTGAGTCAGGGACCCTCCCTGGGAGGAGCTGAAAGGAGGATATGTGTACCCCAGAGGGAAGTCAGGACAATCGAGGGACGTGAGGACAGGTAGTCCTCAGCTGGTCAACCTGGACAGCCTTGAAGATTGGCTGGCCTGGTGTGCATCATGGCTAAAGCCTTGGAGAAGGGTAACTCTTCCCCTGAGAAATCAAAGGGCCACAGGAGGCACAAAAATCTAGCCCAGGAGACAAACCTGAGGTTGGGCCTCTACCCATCCCAGCTTCGAGGCACATTCAAATTGGGGACACTGGAATCTGGAGCATTTTTCAGGTTCCAGGATTTCAAGATGGCATCTGAATGATTCGAGCTCCACGGGTCCCCTGGAGGGTATACGTGGGAAAAAGCCCACTGCAGAGGGGCGGCTGCCGTAACAGGCTTGACTTGTGGGTTCTCCCAGTACTGAACTACTTTTCAAAGTAAAAGGCATAGGATGGAACTCAGCTCATTCTTTGGACCCCCAAACTATTGATAATGAAGTCACCCTGCGTCTTTCTAAGAATGCGGTACTACTGCTCCATGATTAAGCACCCCTGAGATGTGTGTTTCCCAGCCTCCTTTGAGAATAGACTTCTCCTGAGCAAGAGAGTGCTGTTGTATACAGTGGGAAGCAGGTGTGGGCATGTCCTTGGGCTAAGGACAGCTCCATTTCAGAAACTCTGAACCAGACTACTGCCAACTGCCAGCAACCAGAGATGTCTGGTGGCACTCTGTGGTTAGTGCCAGCAGCTGCTGCTGCTGCATCCAGCTCCAGGAAGCTCCTATTCAAAGAGTACAACAGATGGGACAGATGTTCCCTCACACCCATAGTTTGTCGTTTCAGGATGCTTTCGGCAATGCCTGCAAACAGCTTGGGTGGTCACAATGGAGGTTACCCATCATTAGCATCTAATGGGCAGAGGTCAAGGAAGCCACTAAGCCTCCTGCACAGTACAGCCCTCCACAGCTAGTTATCCAGACCAAAGCATAACTACTGCTCAGGTTTGGAAACCTTGCTTTGCACTGCATGATCGTTCTCACTGCCTTGCTATCGAATGTGCAAAAAGAACCACCCAGGCTATGGAAGCAGGTTGGCCGTCTGTGTCTGTCTGGTAGTCAAGCAGGCTCTTATTGCAGCTGGAGCAAGTGGGATTTGGGGAGTGGGCATTCCTTGGGGTGGGAATGATGATAGAATGAGCCAGTGGGTTCCCCGTACTGAGGAGCCAGATCTGGCAGGATTCAAGGTAGAGGTGCAGGGGGCAGTTGAGAGGGCTGGGTAGGTAAGGTGGGGCCTGATGAAGGTCAAGCCCAGGCGTTGTACTTTCTCCTCAGACAGTGCTGTGAGATTGGGAGGGGCTGGATGGAGTGTCTCAGGACCATTAATCAGTAATCAGGATGATTTAGGGTGAAGAAGAGTCTTGAAAGAAGCAGGGGTTAAACAGGTTGTTGACCCCATTGAGCAGGCTGAGTCAGAGCATCGAAAAAGAAACGAAAAGAAGGAAATGCAGCCTAAAGAAGGAGCAGGTGCCCTGGTAAATATTTAGACAGGTGAGTGTGGATTCTGCACAGTGGCAATGACAGACCTGGAAGAGGAGGATGTGGTGAAACTCCTTCCCAGCTTGAGTGAGAAAGCGCTGTTCTAGAAGCACTATTTTATTTCAATAATCACTTTTGTTTGTTTGTTTGAGACAAGGTCTCCTTATATCCCCAGCTGGCCTGAAACTTGCTATGACCAGGCTGGCCACGATCTCACATAAATCGACCTATCTGCCTTCTGAGTGCTGGGACTATAGGAATGTGCCATCATATCCAGCTGAAATAAAAACATTTTTTTAGAAGAAAGAAAAAAAATTGTCTTTATGATTGGGAACAGAGAATAATTTTTATGTGTTTTCTAAAGACACAAGAAAGGGCTGGCATAAGGCTTAATGGGTAAAAGTGCTTGCCCGTGTAAGCCTGGCAATCTGAGTTCAAACCTCAGAACCCACATAAAAAGCCAGATTCCATGGCACACATTGATCCCAGCACTCCTACTGGGAGAGGGGAGGTAGGGACAGAATAACTCAGAAGCTTGCAGACCAGCTGACCTGGAGCAGGCAGCACAGCAGCAGAAACTGAACAGGCTCTTCCTCAACAAGATAGGAGAGAACTGACTCCAGAATGTCTGCCTCTGACCTCCACACAGGCATCGTGGCACATGCGCCCACATTCACACACACACACACACACACACACACAATAATAAAACATGTACACAAGAAAGCACAAATGATCATGAAGATTGATGATAGGAAGCAAACACAATTCTATACAAGAAAAATATTAGCAAAGTTTAAAAGCAATACAACCCAGCTGGGCTTGGCAACACAGGCCTTTACTCCCAGATAATCAGGAGGCTATGGTAGGAGGATTACTTCAAGTTCAAAGCCAGCCTGAGCAATTTAGGGACACTATCTTAAAAATAAGCCGGGCGTGGTGGCACACGGCTTTAATCCCAGCACTCGGGAGGCAGAGGCAGGCGGATCTCTGTGAGTTCAAGGCCAGCCTGGTCTACATAGTGAGTTC